AAGCGTGTTCTTCCACTCACAGACACTGAAGCCTGAAACCGAACGGCCCGTTTACTGCGTTTAACCTCAGTCCTAGTTTCACGGTTCGACGCCTGTGACCTCGTTTAGCTCCAGTTCACAGCTCGTTCTGCCAGACGTCAGTCTGTTTGCATCTGTACTAACTTTGAATAAGTCATCTTCAGTTAAACGACTCTGAGCATCTTTAATCAAATGCACTTTAATCAACACTGGGCTGCTTTCTAAAACCACTTTTACAAAGTCTCTGGTGGACGTGGGAGGAGGAGCGAGGATGACATTTCTATCAGATGAAGAGTTCTGACTGTGTCACAGCTGCACAGACGTCTCATCGTGTCGGGTATGTTATGCATATGTTTGGTTTATTTGATAATCTCACACATTCATTATCTGCTATTCTAATAAACAAAATGATGATAATTGAAGGAAGACAACATTTTTAAAGTTGAACGTTTCAAATGTTGAATATGTTTGATAGTTTTGTTTGAATGATTAGATTAGATAGAAATGGAGTGAATGACAGAGACAGCTGCCTCTTTGTTGATGCTGCTTTAAGTGTTATGATTAATAATGAACGAGCAGCTGCAGATGAGATTCATGAGGACGTCTTCACAGTTTTTCAGCTCTCAGTCATGAAGAGGTGTGGACTGATCCTGCTGTGCTCTCAGGTCTGTGAACTCATCTCAGTCGCCTCATTTACAGTTTGAATAAAACTTTTGATATCAGAAAGTCAAAGAAAGCACAAAGTGAACTGCTCCATAGGGATTATTTTAAAGGTGTCTGTAAACGAGCTTCAAGCAGTCACAGAAACACTCGTACAATCTCCAAAGATCTTTGTCATGTCAACTAAACTTCTAAAGGTTTCTTTGGGTCCAGTTAGAAGTTTGATTGACAGTTTAATAGTAGTTTGTAACAGTTTGTATAAAGTGAAGTAAAAGAGTAAAGAAAGAAAGGAGGGAAGAGAGAGTGCATGAACGTGGCTGTTTGTGTGCACTGCTGAGAAAAACACGTCTTGATTTAATTTTCTGTGTAGAAATCTGACTGAAAGCCTGAAACGCTGCAAACCCGTCAGCCCGCTGAAAAAGATCCTGACTGCTTTTACCACGTCCGTGTGCACGTTAGAGCAGGCGATATGGCCAAAAATATTTATCACGATATAAATTTGAACATTTGCGATAACGATAGAACTGACGATATAATTGATGCGAGACAAAATACAACTCCACAACTTTGCTAGCGCAAAAAAACCCATCCATTTATTTTCACTTAAACAAGCAGCTGTTTTATGTGCATTAAAGCTATATAAACATTTAACAGTGCAAATGCAAATTCTTTGCTGAAAGTTTAACCAAAAGGCATTTCCAGTAGAAATGGGCTGACATATCCTGAGCATAACCATGTATAATATCCACTGAAGTTAAAAAGAGGAGCTTTGCAACATTAAACTGCAGTGTGCCAAATAAAAAAGTCAAATATGTATTTTTCAGACCATAAGGTGCACGGGATTATAAGGCACATTAAGCGAAACAAAGCAGTCAGATAAATCAAACTTTATTCAACTCATTCTTCTTGGGTTTCAGTGCTGTGGTTCTGTCTAAAACCTGACTGGAAGGCATCATAGCAGTTATTCTGTTTAAGAAGTAACTGAGCTGTTGAGAAACTGCTTTTTCAATGATCTTACTTAAAAATGGGAGATTTGAGATCGGCCTGTAGTTGTTCATTTGTGTCTTGTCAGGATTGTCCTTTTTCAGTATAGGTTTGATTACAACTTTTACTGAAATTAAATTACAATGTTTTAAATGAAATGAACGGGCACTTACTTATTTAAATAATTCCAAATGTATCAAATTAATGACACAATTAATTCATTATTTAACGTCGTATTAAATTTATTCATTTTGTCACTCCTGGCCCTCCATACTCTCACTGCTGCTGTCCCATTCCTGCACATTACCGCCCTCTTCTGGCCACACTGGGTTATTACCTCTGCCACTTGCCGCTGATTTATTAAGATCTGTTTTCAAAAGCACCTGAAACAGACAAACCCGACTTTCAGGCGAAGTTTACTTTCATTTACACAAAAATGCTGAACACGGATTAATTTTTAAAATATGAACTTTATTAACAAAAATCAGCCCTCAGACTTTTCTCGTAATCAAAGCTTTTGTTTAAAAAACCGTCTTGATTAAACCCACATCACTAAAACTTCCCAGCGTCCAGGAAATGATTCGCTCCTGTTTGTGAGATAAATAAAATTTCACACCAGAACCCATCAGGTTATCAAAATAAATTAAAGATCGAAACATGATTTCCCCCGCTGATTGATCTGTGATTGGTGCTGTACCGTCACACCGCAGACGCTCCCACAGAGGACGCAAAATACAACGTCCACCTCGTGTAGAGAAGCGAGCCCAATAGTGGTCACCGCCGTCTAAACTAAAACAGAACAGGAAGAGGCCACGGAGACGCCCCGAAGTCCGATTTCATCCTAAATGACGGGGCAGGAAGAAGTGGCTCGGACCGCGGCGCAGAGAGAGAGGCTCTAGCTGAACGGCCGCGGCCGATCGACACAGGTCCAGACCGCTAACCCCGCCCCTTGAGGCCAGGCGCCTCCTCCAGTGCCTGACCGGAGTCTCGTCCCCGTCTGAGGATCTCAGAAAAAAAGTCTTTGAGGTTCAAAGAAGTCAGTGCCATCAGGACAGAGATGCTCCATCACCTCCACCCTCCTCTTCATCCTCCACACACCAGAGTCCATCAGCCTGGACAGCGAGGGGGCGGGGTCATACTTCGTGGAAGAAGTCAGAGGGGGGGCTCTTCTCCACCCCCCTCCACCTCTCCACCTTCTTGATGACCTCAGATACGGCGCAGACGGAGGAGGTGAGGGACACGAGGAAGACGAGGTCTGCAGAAAGACAAAGAAGGAAACGGTCACACAGCTGTGCGCACATCTGTGTGCTCGGGGGGGGGGCGGGGATGCAAATGTCCTACGAAAACTAGAAAAAAATATTCCAAGACTCGAGCAAAAAAAAAAAAAAAAGCACAAAATGAGAAATTTTTTTTTCAATTTGTGCTTTGTTCAAAAAGTAAAACAGAAACAGGGAGGAGCTCCTGCAGGAGGACGCGCGAGGACACGCGAGGACTTACCGAGGACGCTGAGACTCTCCGTCTGGAAGACGCTCTGCAGAGGAGGGAAGTAGATGACGAGCAGCTGCCCCATGATGGAGGCCAGGACGGCGAAACAGAACGTGCGGTTGCTGCACAGCCCCATCTCGTGGACCATCCGGGTCTGAGGAGCAGAGACGGGCACGGCTGAGGTCACATGCTCTTTAATGCGACGGTGAGGTCATGTCAGGTTAAACGTGCGCGCTCACCTGCGATCTGGAGCTCAGAGCGTTGAACATGTCGAAGAAGACGAAGCAGGTGAAGGTCATGGTGGTGTCTCGAGGAGTGATCACGTTGTCCTGCAACTGCAAATAAAATGCAGAGAGCGAGTCAGCTGGAGACGTCACAGCGGCAGACAACGATGGTGATGCTGATCGCGCGCCGAGGTCAGCGCCCGGTGACGTCAGCATCAGGAAACCTGAGGTCAGAAACGGCCACCCACCTCTCTCCAGAAGACGTAAAGCGTCCCGCAGACGATGATGAACGCCGACACGAGCACTTTGACGATCAGGCTGCGGGTGATGATGCTGTCTCCGACGTTGCGAGGAGGCTTCCTGATGATGTCGCGGTCCACAGGCTCCACCCCCAAACTAACAAGAGAACACACACACACACAAACATTGCGATTGTGGCTCAAGAGTTGGGAGTTCGTCTTGTAACCGGAAGGTCGCCGGTTCGAGCCCCTGCTCTGTCTGTCCTGGTCGTTGTGTCCTTGGGCAACACGCTTCACCTGCCGCCTACTGGTGGTGGCCAGAGGGGCCGATGGCGCGATATGGCAGCCTCGCCTCGGTCAGTCTGTCCCAGGGCAGCTGTGGCTGCAACTGTAGCTGCCTCCACCAGTGTGTGAATGAATAGTGGAATATAAACACAATCCATTATTATTATTATTATTATTAAACAGGATTTACCCCAACCCGGTTCAAAAGGAGGGGTCGGCACAGACGTGTGAAAAATATGATGCGTCTAATCACATCGAACATCTGGAATATTCACACTCTGCTTAATGAGCAGGTGTGCGTGCAGGTGTGCACACAGCAGGGGGCGCTGCAGACCACCACCACAAACCAAACATGTCGTCAGCTTTCATTTCAGAGCTCGACCAGCTGCCTGAAGTATCACTGATAAATATTAGTCTCTTCTAAAATATCCGTGTCAACTGAGGTCAAAGGTCAAAGGTGAACCAGTGAAATGTTCAGTCGCTCACCTCTGAGCCGGCGGTCCGTCCATGATGATGTTGATCCACAGGATCTGCATGGCGTTCAGCGGGTTGGGGAAGTTCATCAGCGTCGCCAAGGAGATGAGGGTGAGTGCCGCAATGCTCCTGGTGACCAGCAGGGGGAGACGGAGGGCTCAAACACTGAATCCAGAGACAGAAGTGTGACTGACGGCGGTTTGTACTCACGTGCTCAGCTGGAAGCAAACAAAGTTTTTGATGTTGTTGTAAATTCCTTTTCCCTCCTCGATGGCCGACCTGCAGACAGGAAGCAGACGCCGACCTTTGAACCACAAACGCTCCAATCGCAGCTTAATGACAGGAACTAACTGTTTCACTAAATCTTTGAGCCTTTTGGACGAAGCTCAGAAACATCAGGACTTTTATGTGTTCACAGATTTGATCGTGACTCGGACCCTCGCCAACGCCGATCGCCTCCTGTGAACTACTTCCTGTGCAAGGGATGAACCGTAACTAATCATAGCAACGTCGTGCTGATGGAAATGAGTTGCTATGGTTACAGTCAGTGTTATGTGTGTTACTCCACACAAAGACAAGGACAGCAAGTCCAGGCTCGTCGCCATGGCGTCAGACTCACATGATGGTCTGGAAGTCGTCGTCCACCAGGATCATGTCGGCCGCCTCCTTGCAGACGTCGGTGCCCGTCTGGCCCATCGCAACACCGATGTCAGCGGCCTTCAGAGCCACGGCGTCATTCACCCCGTCACCCGTCATGGCCACCACAGCGCCGTTGTTCTGCAGGGACTGAAGAGAGGGACGGGGCTTTAGCAGCGCTTCGTTCTAGAAAGCTGTTCGTGCCTCAAATCGATCACGTTTATTTAACTTTTCCTGCTTCATGAACTGGACTTCCTGTCTGCTCACCTTGACGATCTTCAGCTTGTGTCGCGGGCTGGCGCGATAAAACACGGAAATCTGTGGACAGAGGGCGGATCCAGGAACGCCGTCAGTGACAGCAACACCGCTCTGAAACATGACTGTGAGTGTGTGTGTGTGTGTGTGTGTGTGTGTGCGTGCGTGTGTGCATGTATGTGTGTGTGTGCGTGTGTGCATGTATGTGCGTGTGTGCGTGTGTGCATGTATGTGCGTGTGTGCGTGCGCGTGTCTGCGTCTGCGTGTGTGTGTGCATGTGCGTGTGCGTATGTGTGTGCGTGTGCGTATGTGTGTGCGTGTGCGTATGTGTGTGCGTGTGCGTATGTGCATGTATGTATGTGTGTGCGTGTGCGTATGTGTGTGCGTGTGCGTATGTGTGTGCGTGTGCGTATGTGCATGTATGTGTGTGTGTGCGTGTGTGTGTGTGTGTGTGTGTGTGTGCGCGCTCACTCTGGAGATGATCTGCGACAGCTGCTGCAGGTCCAGCTGATCCACCTCCTCCCCAGACAAACTCTGCCCCCCTTTAGAGAAGAGGCCGATGCGACTGGCTGCAGACACACAAACATCCACTGCTCTGTACATTCATGTAACACCACTGTCAACCACAAGGTGGCGCAGTGACTCCCACTCGACCCATGGCAGCATTATTCAAACTGGAGTGGGTTCAGCCAGAGGTCATGGCAGCAAGTGTGAAACGCTGCCACCTTGTGGTGAACGTTTTCCCCATGACGAGCCACTGACTGCTGATTACCAGCTCAGGGTTTGTTCTCTCTTTAATAAGTGAATGATGATCCTGCGCTTCTTCTGGCTGTTTCACAATAAAAGCCCTATTAATAAACAGGGGCTTTTAATGTGGAATTCAGAGAGCGGAGTTTAATCATCAGCCTGATCATGTAACTAAACAATGTCTGTGTTTTTCTTTTCATTTTTCTCTTCTGTTGTTCAGATGGAGGAGCTGAGGACAAATCCTCCCGATGGAGGCGTTTTTAAAATCAGGAAGCTCGAGGACAGGGAACTTAAACCAGAGGTCAAAGCCCCGATCAGCTGTGATGTAAAACAGGAAGCGCATCCCACCCCAGAAAAACACTAAAGATTTGTTCTGTTGTTTAACTTTATACATTTGCGTAAGCGTGTGTGAATCAGCTGACCTATAGACATGGCCGTCTCCTGGGAGTCTCCGGTGATCATCTTGATGGTGACTCCAGAGCTGATGAGCGTGCCCACGGCCTCTTTGACCCCTGACCTTGGAGGGTCGATGATGCCCACCAAACCCAGGAAGGTCAGCTTCCCCATCTCAGAGCCCGACGCGAACGCCAGCACTGAAACACACACACCACACACACACACACACACACACACACACACACACACACACACACACACACACACACACACACACACACAGTGAGTGAGTGTGTTTTTAGGGCATCCCCAGCCCTGCCTGTAGGTGTCGCTCTCACCTCTGAGCCCGCCTGAGCCCATGTAGCTGATCTGCTGCTGGTACAGCTCCACCTGCTGGTGGTTCAGGGGGAGCGCGCTGCCTCTGCTGTTGTAGGAGCTGCAGAAGCGAATCACGTGCTCGTACGCGCCCTTCATGAAGTAAACTCCAGCTTTGTCCTGGAGACGCAGCAGGAAGAGCAGACACGTCAGAGATGCTGATGATGCAGAACACAATATTAAACTTTGACTTTTAGGATTTCAGCTTTAATGCTGCTGTTCAGTTTCTCCCTTGGTGACAAATCCACAGGAAACACTTGTGAGAGAAACCTGAGGAATGTTTGAGTCTTCGTCCATGAACGCTCACATCCGAGTCGCAGTAACTCGGCGTCAGCTCGCTACCTGCTGCAAACACGGTCCAGAGTGTAGCAAAACCCATTTTCAGTTAGTATGTTTAATTATTTACTTTTTTAAGACCGTTGTTGGTTTTAATCTAGCTTAAACCAAACCGCTCCGCTGGATTTAGCTGGCGAGCTGATTAGAGAGCCGATCAGAATCCAAGTCTGTGATTGGTTGGTTTTGTTGCACATTTGTAACGCTGTACAGAGATGTGGAGAGCAGGACTGCAGACGTCTGTGAGCACACAGAGCGGCTGTTACTGTGGATATTAGCACAGTTTTCTTCGTTCAAAGTAATTTTCTCCTCAAAATGCAACTTTGTACTTGCAGCAGTGATTTCTGTGGGCTCAGGCACAACAGTAACACCATGACAAACATCTAAGGATCTGCTGGAACATCACAGAACATGTATGAGCAACGACTCCGGCCGTGTTTCTGCTGCCGGCGTCCTCTAATGACATTGGAGCATCAGAGCGAGGATAAAGGGTTAATGTGAGCAGCTCTTCATCACAGACCTGCTGCGTGCGGTGAACGCAGCGCACGGCCATCCACTTCTTCTCCGAGCTGAACGGATGCTCCTCCACCCGCACGTACTCGCGCTGCAGACCCTCCAGCCCCACCTGCAGGACACGGAGAGGAGCACAGCTCGTCACACAAACACCTCATCGCTCATATTCATGTTTTTATCTCATCTGGTTTATCATCAGCTCAGGTCCTCCAGCTCCTCCTACTTTTAACTGTTTGTACGCTTCAAACAGTCAGAGGGGGAAAGGGGGAGGAGCTAAAACAGCTGGTTTCAGTCCAGTGTGAGACAAAGAAGGATCGAAAAAATGAGCCCAACTGGTCTGATTTCAAGACTTCGACGACCTGCTCAGAGCGTGGCGCTCTGGGTTTTACCTTCATGGCGAGGGCGATGAGCGCTCCTTCTGTGGGCCGTCCCAGCACGTTGTGATTCCTGATGATGGAGTCGTTGCACACACAGCCGACCTGTCAGCACACACACGCTCAGTAAACCCGGGTTCAGAGTTCAGTGTGAAGATCTGAGCTGAGACATGAACGACCTCACCTCCACAATTTTGCTGATGGACTGACACGAGAAGCCGTGGATCACCTCTCCGTTCAGCAGAACTTCCCCCTGCCCGTTATAGCCGACGCCGGTGACCTGCAAGACAACACCGAGGGTAAGATAACAAAGACCTGCGACCTCGAGACACTGGAGGCAGGACCAGAAGGTCAGCGTGCGCTTTCGTGGACTTGTCAACGTGTCGATGCCGCTCTGCTGAAGCCCGGGCGGTTCGCACAGAGCAGGACTTCAGTGTTTGCTTCAGCCACAGACACACAGCCGTGACAGAGCCTTCGCCCTCATAAAGTATCACTCAAACACAGCTTCAGCCCCCTGACAGGTGAGGCCAGTGACCCTGCAGGCCTTCAGCACCTTCCCATGACCTCTGACCTCCCTGCAGTGAGCAGAACCTGCCCTGACCCAGTTCTCCCAGTATGCCAGCTGGGATTTCCTCATGGATTAACCGGGTCAGTGAGCCCTCTGCAGACTCTGCGTTACAGCAGCGATCAGGCTTCAGAAGAAGCCGCTGCAAACCGACGAGGAGGAAGAGGGCTCAGCTTTCAAAATAAGAGCATCAGCCTTACAACAAGTTACAGTGATTGCTTTGTTCATGGGATCTTAAACTTGGCTTGTTGGGTTGCGACTCACGTGATCTCCTCTCCTCCTTTTTGACCTTTTAGAAGGTGAAAATCAGCCGTTTGGGTCAAACTGGGACATTTGCACTGATGCCGTTTCATGTTCACCGTCTCTCAGATTAAAATAACAGACACCGATGAAAAACAGAAAGCTGGTGTAGATGTAGGAGGCCGGCAGCTTCAGTACAACTCATCGACTGTCTGAGGAGCTGCAGACGCCTCCATCAGGTCGGCTGTGGGGGAGTCTGACAACTCTGGGTGCACGCCAGGGCCCCACCGCTTTACCAACATCTACAGTCTCATTTAATCTGCAGTCTCACCGATACTCCAGGTTCCTGCAGCGCCACCCACAGGACGCCCTGGGGACGCGTTTCAAAGCCTCCTCAAAGTCCACAGACTAGTCGGGGAAATTCCCAAACACCCTTAAATATCCCGGACAGGATAACGACGTGTCCACTGATCCGAGACCAGCAAACTGATCGACTCCACTGAGCCCATAAACTCCGAGCGAGCAGACGGAGCCTGAACTCGAGTCCTCTGCAGAACACGAGCTTCACCCTGATCGCACGACCAACCACCCGCCAGCACCAACACGAAGCCCAGCTGAGTTTGGTAGCCTGAGGATTTAAAAGCTGACCCTGTGATCACGCTGTGGAGGTTTCAAAGTGTGAGAGGAAACGGCGTGGGAGTCTGACCTCAGCGTGCTGTCCGTCTGACGTGAACAGCTGAGTGACCGTCATCTCGTTCTTGGTCAGCGTCCCCGTTTTGTCCGAGCAGATCACATTACAGCAGCCTGACGGGGAAAACGGCACAAAGGTCACCAACGTGCAGCTCACAGAAGGTCGGGCTGTGCATGACCGTTTCCGTCGCATCACGACGTACCCAGAGTTTCCACGATGGGAAGTTTCTTGATGATCGCTCTTTTCTTCACCATCCGCATCACGCCGAGCGCCAGCGTCACCGTCACCACGATGGGTAAGCCCTCTGGGATGGCAGCCACAGCCAGACTGAAGGAGGAGAGGAGGAGACAGTCAGACTTGTTTTATGATTTACATCCTCACTGAAAAAACGCAGACAAACCCAGAAAACATGTGTTTGCTCTCAGTGTTCACGGTCAGCTTCCCAACTTCCCTCTAACAGGAATCACCTGTAACGTGCTCCCGCCCCACAGCGCTAACTTTCCTCTCTCGCTTATAAAGGCGACTCTCCTCATGCTAACGTCACTAACAGCAGGCCGTGTGATTGCATTTATATGGAGGCTGCTCCACCTGTCGCACTGAGACCGAGCTCGCTCCTTCAGGTGTCTTCCTCACTCACTATGTGTTAACAGACCTCTCTGCACTGAATCATACCTGTTATTAACCTCTGTCTCTCTTCCACAGCATGTCTTTATCCTGTCTTCCTTCTCTCACCCCAACCAATCACAGCAGATGGCCCCGCCCCTCCCTGAGCCTGGTTCTGCCGGAGGTTTCTTCCTGTTAAAAGGGAGTTTTTCCTTCCCACTGTCACCAAAGTGCTGCTCATAGGGGGTCATATGATTGTTGGGTTTTTCTCTGTACCTATGAAGCGCCTTGAGGAGACTTTTGTTGTGATTTGGCGCTATATAAATAAAAGTGAATTGAGGTGTTTCACGGCTCTGTGCACCAAATCACACAGCAGACTGTGACGCTCGCGTCCTTGTCTGTGGGTGGAGTCACTCTCCTGGTCACATCATGAAACCAGCGTCACAAACCTATCACATCGCTGCACTCAGCTATAACCTGATAAACACAGAAGAGGAAGCAGCTGCCTCGGTTCAACCAATAACCAAACAGAAGCATCACTCAGGGTCACCTGACACCGATGGTGAACATGTCCAGGAGACTCTTGCCCTGCAGCCAGCCCACCAGCATGATGACGCCTGAAACACATCAGAGACAGACTGAGCGCGGCGTGCAGACGCCATGGCGATTGAGAGCAGGACGCAGCAGCGGGGCAGCTCGCCGCACACACGGCCCCTTACCCACGGCGTCTCCTCGTAATCACACGATCATCATAAACTCACCGATGATGCAGAAGGAATAAAGCGACAGCTGCTTCCCCAGCAGGTCCATGCTCTTCTGCAGAGGAGTTTTAGGAGCCTGACAAAGCAAACAGGAAACAGATGTTTCATGAACACGGCACCTCTGGCTGGAACTCCGTGACATTTGTATTGAATTATATTCAGATTTCATGCGGGAGACCTCACCTCCTCTGCCTGCATCATCTTGAACACCTCCCCGAACTCAGAGTTCTCTCCGGTTCCAATGACGATGCCCTGAAGAACATCAGAACACCTTTCAGCAGGTAAAACTGTCTAAGCATCGTTGAAACATCAGCTGCAAAAGCTTCAATAGCAACAGCTGCAGTTCCTCTGGTGTCCTGCTGAGGCAGCAGTGAGCCAGCCTGATACAGACCGCTGTGTATCCTCCATCATAGCACCTGTCCTGTCCTCTTTAAATTGCATTCATGCTTATGTTTGCATTATTAGGGGCGTGGCCAATTTGACAGGTAGATGGTGCACGGGTGGCCGTAGCTGCTGGCTTCACCTAAGCTGGACCTCTGGACCGTGTTTGTGATGTCGGAGCCTTTTTAGTGACATCATGTGACCAATAACATGCCTGCTGTGAGGTCACTGAAGTCTGAGCTGTGAGAGGGTTTTGATTGGATGTTAGTGATTAGCAGGTATCTGTGTCAGCGCTCCACGGTGCAGGTCCCTCTGCAGTCGTGTGTGCTGTATTTCTGCTCACACTCTGTAGCGTCGGTCGCTGCTGTGCTAACGGGGACCCTCCCACCCGAGGGATTAATAAAGTTTCATCTAATCTAAGCTCTAATCATTCTGCCGGCAGCCACTAAGATGACGGTTACAGTTTTCTACAACCACGGCGGCGTCCTACACGCCGTCTGTCACCACTGAACCATCGATATGAAGGAGGCGGCCACGTCATCACTTCCTCACACCGTCTGCAGCCAGAGTCTCAGCGCACACTTCTTTCCTGTAACTTCACCGTCTGTGGAGCAGAAGAAGAAGAGTGAGCTGCTACCTTGGCTTTGCCGTAGCGCACCAGCGTCCCCATGAAGGCGATGTTGCTGCGGGAGGCGATGTCTCCGTTGGTGGATGCCGGCTGGTGGGCGGTGGACTTGGTGCAGGGCGTGGTCTCCCCCGTCAGACTGGACTCATCCACTGACAGGTCTGTCGCCTGCGAGGGTGGAGGAGACAGATTTAACTCCAACCAGGAGGGATACTCTGACCTCTAACCTCTAACCCTGCTCACTAAAGCCACCATTAACCCCACCCCCACCTCAGAGCAGGCGGCCATCTTTACACGACTGCAGCTGCTCTTAATGAAGGTTCACACGTTTCCCAGCGTGACGCGCCGTTCACCCCTGAGACAACCCAGTGAATGTAGAGGCCTCAAAGTACCGCCTACACGCGCCTACACCCGCCCCGCCTACACCCGCCTACGCCCGCCTCAGGGATACGCTGTCACTGGGATTTGTTGCACGTGGTGAAGATGCAGGACGAGTACCGCGGCGACCTTCTCTTTGTTCTGATGTCAGTCTCACCTGCAGTGAAGCAGGGAGCTGCTCGATAATAAGAAACTCCCCGCGGACTTCCTGTTGGACAGGGGGCGCTCTCGAGCTCGCGCCGCGGAGCGAATGAAAAACCTGAAGTTTGTGTGAAAGTTTTCTTCTGCGTGCAGAAGCCGCAGCAGGCTGGAGGTGGAAGCTGCTGCTCGCTTCATGCCCCAAACCAAAATGGAGGCTCATGGTGACGCTCACCATCTAAACCTGCACCTGCAGTCTGAAAACTTCCACAAAGAAAAATCTTCACACACAAAACGTACATTTTGATTGGTGCTCGAGAGCGCCCCCTGCTGAGGGGTTTCATTTATTTATGATTACACTGCAGGCCTGATCAGAGGGCGTTCTGCTCCCGTGTTTGCAGGAACCTGATCGCCTCTGATCGTTCATCCTGAAAGAATTTAGTTCCTTTCTTGGAAACGAGAAGCGCTCAGCTTCCAGCAGACATCTCTGCTGTCCCAGAATCCCTCGCTCCCTCACGCCCAGGCTGACACAAAGCTATCAGTGTTTTTACCTCGAAGAGACGGAGGTCAGCCGGGACCTTCTCCCCCACCGACAGGCAGACGGTGTCTCCGGGAACGAGCTCTCTGGCCAGCAGGTGCTCCAGGTTCCCCTCCCTGACACTGAGGAGGAAGACAGCGGGGGAGAGTGTTTACAGTCATGCTCCTCCCCTCCCTGCGCGCTCTGCTGAGGAGCGTCAGGGACACAACACATTAATAATTCACTTTTTGAAAATGTGCATTTCCATGGTTGAAGTTGAAATTTCTAGAATGAGGTCGAGTGTGTGGATCCAGCTCCGTCCTCCGTCTCTGCCAAACATTCGCCACGACCCAACTGTAAACCCCGATGAAGAGTGGATCATCGGGGGAAACCACGGGAATCTCTCGTTGCTCCGACATCGGCGCATCGTTGGCCAGGATTCAGTCTCAGCTTTCATGGAAACTCTAAGAAGTTTCTTAGAACATCGCGAGGAGTGAAATTAATCCTGTGACCTCAGGCTGAGAAGAACAATGCTGTGTGTGCAGCTGTGTGCTCGTGCTCACAGTAATGTGAGTGCTGGTCACACAGTGTGCCAACAGGGGGCGCTACACGGTGTGGATAGATGGAGCAAACAGACACACACACTCCTTTAAACGGATTCATTTATGGAGTCAAATTTCTGGATTCTTGGCTGTGGGATGACAGAGGAGCAGACTCCGTGTCATAACTGCTTATTTCATTACAAACAATCACAACTAGGAGACGCGATGTTCTCCGCAGACTCGATCCATGCAGGAGGACGAGGCAGGAGACCCCCGCCCACTCTCCTGAAGGAGGTCAGGATCAAACTCACCAGTGACATTCTGGAGGGACGAGCTTCCCCAACTCCTCCAAAGACTTCTCTGAGCGATACTCCTGCACACAAGACAAGACAGCAGCTCAGCTTCATCACAGACACACACACACACACACTCACAC